TTCACAGTCAGCTTCAGACCAGGTTGTTGGTTTAGTATAGGCGATGAGAGATCGAACAAGGTAGAACCAACACATTTTAGGTTACCAAAATAAAGCTAAAAGTCAGTGTTTCTTATGTGCTTTTTCTTCTTTGTCCAGTTTCCTCTTTTTTTCCACTACTACCTCCCTTCTTTAATCACCTCCCCTCTTTCTCACTGTCCATTTCCACTAGCTACTACATCAGGCAGGAGTCTAGAGTGCACTGGTTACTCACACACACAGAGCAGTCTGGGAGTTGTTCCCTCTGTGTTTTGGCCTCGGCAAAAGAAAGCAGTTTATATTTATAGACTCTGCTGTAAATACAGAAGGGTTATATTTGGTCACTATGGCTCAGTGTATTTTTGGAGGCCTGTGTCACTTTGGTGCGTGCCTCTGTAAAATCCACTAAAACAACAGCAAAATAACAGAGCCATTACTGTCGCCAAGATTCCTTCTTTGTGTGTGTAGACACACACATACACACACAGAAAGAGAGAGAGAGAGAGAGAGAGAGAGAGAGAGAGAGAGAGAGAGAGAGAGAGAACCAAGAAAACAAACAGGCCTTCTTCTTTGCAAGTCTATCTGAATGCAACAACAGTTTTGACGAATAAAGAGGCATCATTGCATAAATACAGCAGTTCCTTTAGACAAAAAGGTCCTCCAAGAGTGATTTGAGAATGACCTATTAAACACATTTGGAAATACAGTAACTGTATTTCCAAATGTGTTTACTAGGTTTTCCTCTGCTCTCCTGAAGCTCATCCTGTCAGAAAGGAAAAAACACAGATTGGGAGGTTTTTACATAACAACACTTTAATCTAAAGGTACTTGTTAACTTACTAGAACATATGTTAATCACCATATAATAATGACAATTACCCTCTATAACAGCTGGTTTGATGGCAGTTTGCTGATGTGTTAACAAGCGGTGTTGTGGTTGAGGTGAAACGATGACTCCTCTCACATTTTCTCCCAAAATGCTGTAATTTGATGTTGCTCAGAATCTGAACAAACAAGAGAGCATCCACCTCATACATCACTCACTGACAACCCTCCTTTTAAGAGCCAACAGTCATGCTAGCTTCTCTGTGAGGCTGTACTTACACACAGTGGTGCTTTGAACTAAACGCTTATGTCAGCATGCCAAGATGCTGATGCTAAACAGGTATAATGTTTACCATGTTAACCATCTTAGTTTTAGTGTTAGCTTGCCTGCTAACACTTGCTAATCAGCACAAAATACAAACAAATACAAAGTACAACAGAGGCTGATGGGAATGTCAGTTTTGCAAGTATTGGACAAATTAACTGTTTAACCTGATGATGGTGTTCAGTGTTGATCATACTTGCGGACGTGCTTCTATACATACTACATTCGGTGGTATGTGTGCACAGACATGTTCCACTTGCGCACACTGAAAGACATGATGCCAACCTCCTGACAGCAAGTAAGAAAGCGCCTTTAATTGTTGTATTTGGCTGGAAAAAATGAAAAAGTCACAAAACAAAAACAGGACTGAGAATATAGTACATAGGAGGAGAAGCTGCATTAAAATTGATGATGCTTGTGGTCAAACGCAGTATAAGTGGATAAGTGGACACGATTTATTTTTATGTGAAGGTGAAGCCATATTATCATCACTATCTCGTTGCCGATGTTTACGTTCCCCCAGATGCAAATTCAAAATATGCACTGCAGAATTATTTCCTGGTTGTATACGTTTATGTATTTATGTATAGAAATAACTGTTCATATTGCTATATTTTATTTTTTGTTTATATATTATTTTATATATTTTAATTTTCTGTTATTCTATTTAATTATCTTGTGTGTGCAGCATGAAGGAACAGCAATGTTCATTATATTTCCTTGATACATTGCACACTAAATGCCTGCACATGTTGGGGCTGCATGAAGGGCCAGTATAAAATAAATAAGGATGTTTTTGATTGAATCATGCAAAGTTACTCTAGTGGAGTCCCAGACTAAGAATATAGAGCTAAAAATGAGCATTACAGGTCCCCTTTAATTTCTACCAGTGCTGTAGTTGACTCATACAGGGAAATGTATCTATATAACACATACAGGTAAAGTATGTGGCTGTTTGTGGTGAATAAAAATCAAAAACTCTCTTTAACTTCAATCACAATGAACATTATACAGGAAAATATCACAACATCCAAAACACCTGTGTTATACATACTGTATTATACAGTATAATCATGTCACCCCTGTCCAGAGGTAAGTGTATAATCATAAGTGTAACTCTGCTTCAAAGGGGCTATTTGCTTTGGGTGAAGGTTGTTGAAGTGGTTTTGTGGTCACGATGGGGTTCATTTAGGTGGCACCCACTGTGGCCACCACTGGACACTACAAAGGGTTGGCTGGTCCCCTTGGTCCAGTTGTTACACAAATGTGTGCCCAGTTTAATGACTGTCGGAAAGAAAGCCTCAAAAAGTTTAGATAAGACACAGAGAGAGTATAAGGCGAACTGGAGTAGACAGCCTGTTGAATGACTGCCACTGGAGAGGAAAGAGGCCTGAGCCAATCCCAGGGAGGAGGCCCCCAAAGGGGGTTTGACTGTTTGTCTCCCTGCTGCTGGAGGGACCACGCCCAGACCTCCACCGCACACACACACGCAGGAAGCTGATCTGTCAGGCAGCCAACAGGGTTTCCTGTGGTTGAGGCAAGACTACCGACTTGAAGTGCTAGTGTTCTTAACTCTTCTGTCTTATCCTTTCTTCTCTCCTCTAAATTCACCTCCTCTCATCCTGTTTTCTGTTGTTTTCTCTATTCTTAGACCCCACCTCTCCATCACCCACTCCTCTGGTGTGTTTCCTCGTCATTTCATTTCATTTCCCTCTCCCTCTGTTTACTTCTCTCCTCTCCTTTATACTCATTCATTTCCATCTCCCATTTTGTTTTTTTCCCTCTTCCTCTCTTTTTAACCTTCCATCCCTCGCTTCCTCCTCACCACACAAAACATCCCTCCTCCTGTTATTGTTATTATGTAGAAGGGGCAACTGGACCCAAGTCATGTATGTGTGTTGCGTGCCCCACCCTCATCGCCCCTCCTCACATACACACCCACACCCACTCCACTCACCACAGTTACTAACCCAAAACACACACACACACACACACACACACACACACACACACACACACACACACACACACACACACACACACACACACACACACACACTCTGTGGATCTGCTGCCTATGGACTCAGAGGAAAAACATGGGGTGGATGAATGTGACTCTAATAATCACGAGCCATCCAATTCCCTGTCCCTATAATGCTTTCAGACTTAAGCATGAATATAAAATGTTCTGATCAACATTGTCCTCCTGAAAACTTCCTCTCCCCAAAATCAGTTGAAAAAAAGACAGCTCTCCAAATGGATAGGAAAAGAGATTACAACACATAATAAACTATGTTCCAACATTACAATGGTAACATTAGCTGAGAGAGGTAACTGGCAAGTTGAGCCGGATCCCTTTGCAGTTAGCCAACAGCTTTTCCCGGGTGTTAAACTTTCAGTCAGACTCAGATACAAGAGTTTGGAAAGATTCCTGTAGAAATCAGGTTTATTTAGAAAGCTGAAGGAGGCTCACATGTACTTTGTTTTGCACGAGCCCCTTGTTTCCCCAAATCTCTATAACGGTGGTAGTGAGTACAAAGTGAACACGATCCACAGAGTCGAATGGTCACAATTATGGTAAATACACACCAGTTTGAAATGTATAAGAATATTCCTTTAACAGATACGGCACACTCAAGGTTGTTATATTCTTAGACAGAAATGTGTCTGTCTACTGTGGTGAGAAGAAACAACTGTGCCTTACAGTGTTTTAAGTTTCTAAAGAGTGGGGATCAAATACAAAGATCAGCCTGATCTTCCACAAGGTCAAGTTACTTTTCTTGCTGACAAATTTGATTTAAAGTATTAGTAAAAGTTTGCTTGACCATGTGCTGAGTGGTTTTTAAAAGTCTGGGGGGGCCACAAAACCTGCACAAAAACACTGAGAAGTCACCACCTGATGTATTTGTGACACTTTGTAGTTAAGTCTCTGGGATCTTCATTCCTCCAGCATTGTTGGCGTTCATTTGTTTCAGGAACACTGGATTAAATGATAATAAGCATGTATCTTCAGTCCATGTTATACATATAGCTTGTACACGCTTGTATTACCGCGTAATGAGTGGACTATTATAGGGGATGAAACTCTTGGTTCTGTCACACCAAACACAGTCTCACCATAACTGTATTAACACAGTTGTTTGTTGAGAAGTTCACTCTCACGGTTTGTTTCTGCTCATAGGCAAACACACACGGTAATGAAAGCACTGAGGCTGTGGAACTTTCTCCACATCCTTTTCCTCTCTGGTAGGTTTTACGACGTTCACGGTGCTACAGGAAGACAGTCAGCATGACTCTACAGGCTATACATTCCTCATCAACCTATGTCCAGTGTAACAGAGGTTGTTCAAATAGGAAAGGATGTGTCGGCATGGAGAGAAAATGTTCCTGTCTTTGAGTTTACCAACAAGAGTTAAAGCTGGATTATTGTGAAATCTCATTCACAGTGACATGTGTGATATGTTTGGGGATTGTTTCAAGTTTTTCCTGTATTGTTACAACAACCAAAAATGCAGATTTTAGATGCACCAACAATAATTTAAATTAAAATGTTTTGTAACTTGACGCCTCTATATGAAGGGTTAGTGCTCGTTTATCAAGTATTTGCAGACACAGCACAAACTTCTCTATTTGTATCTATTACATTACAACTTGTGTTTTTCTGCGTATGAAAAAAGAAACTGAAGTTGCCTCACTTTGTTTTTGACATTGGTAACAGTTTATAGAAGTGAAGAAATCTGAGGCACTGATGCCCTATTTCAGCAGATATTTGATACCAGCATTACTGTTTCTGTAGTCCTTTAAAAGGATTATGCCACTAGATACACACAGCTTTTAAGATCTTTGCCCTTTTATTGTCACAGATAAGAGGTAAAAACAGGCTTGAGGATTAACCATTAATCCACTTCTCAGTGCATGTTTGAAGTAGCTCATTACTGTTTGTTTGGCGTGTGCTCACACGCACTGTTCATTTTCTGTCACAGTAAGACACATAAGTTGCCATGAGACGCTTTAAGATGATTGACTTTAAGAGTACGTATACAGAGTTGTTTTAATGTGCACAAAAAGACAAATTCAGGTTAAACTGGCAAATAAAATCATGTATTCCTAATCTCTTCACTCTGCCTCCTCCTGATAGCCATTTCTCTACCTACTGCATCCTTTAGACAAACATTCCTTACGGGTATTTCACTAATCAGTTTGTTCAGAGAAATTTGATTCCTTCACACTTTTCATCACATCTTTCTCATCCTCTTAACTCCTCAAATCCCCCCCTCTAATCCTCCTCTTCTCTCCTCTCTGTTCCGGGTCGAGTCATGTTCCTGATGGAGGAGGCTGTGACCATCTGAGAGGAGAGGAAACATGACATTACATATACATATATAACAGATACGAACAGAAGAGAGAAGAAGAGATCCAAAAAACAAATAAGAGGAAGATTTAAGTCCATACTGGTGTTACCTCGGGGCCAGCTGGTATCGCCCTCTGTTGTGGTACGATCGACCTCTGGCCCTCGTGTTCTGGGGTCCTCCATCGTGGAAGTTAGGATAAGAATGAGGATGATGGTGAAAATGTTGGCCTCCTCTCATCCATTCACCTCTGTGTCCTCCTCTCCCCCACAGTCTCTCTCTGTTGTCATCTCCACTTCGCCCTCCTCTTGCCTCCCCTCTCTCCCTCCATTCTCCTCCATGTCGATGGCCTCCTGTTGTCTCTCCTCTTTCTCTCCAGTTCTCACCACTACTTGGAGGCTGACCTGAAAGTGACAAAAGTAACATTTAAAGGACAGGAAAAGTTAGAGTATTTTCTGTATTTGTGTCCTGTCTGTGATGCTCCACGATATTCACCAGCTAGTCTCTAACTGTGTGTGTCTGCCGTTGGAGCTGAGTCAGGTAGCTTAGGAGCTGAGTCAGGTAGCTTACAGTGGGTTCATGAGCTGCAGAGTGGAAAACCAAAACAATGAGCTGAAAGATGCTGCTCAGTAGAGTTTGGTGATAATTGACTTGACTGCGAGTGACAACTTTCACATTTGACATAGTAATTAGTTCCCTGTTATTATACACATACTGATTGCCACAGCTTTAACAGAACTAGTAAATGACTTCTGGACAGAACACCAGAGTTTGAATTCAACAGTCTTAGTAAACCTTGGTTAAATGCCCCACTCTGTGTAAAAAGTATCAACAACCCCCCCTCTCAAACACACACACACACACACACACACACACACACACACACACACACACACACACACACACACACACACACACACACCATGCCTTTAAAGTCTGTCCGCAATTATTTCAAGGCTGACCACAGGACAGAAAAAAAACCAAATGCCATATCACAGCGGACATACACACTCATCAAGTCTGACAAACGCCGCCAGTTTTTCAAAGCCGAATTATTCAAAGAAAGAAGAAAGGTTTCTTGAAGCTGAATGCTTACAGATCTCTGGTCAAATGTCATCTAACAAGTAAAAGAAAACAAATAAGATTTAATTTTTTTTTTTATGGTCTGTGACCTGCTCTACTATTGGTTAAAAAACTGATGAAGTGACAGAAAAAGCAACATTTCTCCCTACTCCTGTTTAGCTACCATTAAAATATATCCTCGCATTCATGCAAGCTCATGACAAACTCTTCACTTAAGGAACTTTGATAGATGTGGCAGATCTTGAGCCAATTACAAAGTGCTTGAAATGAAACACTAAGACTAACTTTCCAAAAGAGAGTCTCGCTGGGCCAAATCAGGCCGCCATCCTACCACCAATCCACTCACTGAGTGTGAAAGTGCAGGAAAGAAAGCACATGAAAGCATGCCATGGATAAGTGGATGTGTCAGTCAGGCCACAAGCACCAAAAACGTTTTAAGGTCTATTTCTGTAGTCGGTATGTTGGTAAAGTTTCAGATTGTCAGATTGAGATTGAGACTAAAACCAAAAGAGGGAGACTGCGTCATGTGAAAATAAAAGAGATAAGAGAAATTAGAGAAAATATGTTATTCCTATGTCAGAGCAGGGTTGTGTCAGTGAAAATGAACAATATCAGAGGACAGATTGGAGGCGAGAATAGAGGTACATAACTGTTCGCAGCCAGAGCAAAATGTATTCCACAATGAATCTGAAAATGAGGTTGTTTTCATTTACTTTTTGTATTTTTGGACAGAAATAAACTGAAGAGACGTGGGAGAGCAGCTATACTGGATTCACTGTTAGAGTGTAATTGCAAGGGCAGGCGGGCAGAGGAGATATTTGCTGAGGAGACTAAACATCAGGCCTGATTCCAAACAAAAACCAAACCGGGCCCTCAACGATACCACATAGCGCCACCACTACTCTCACGCACACACATACTCTCTGTCTCTCTCTCTCATACACACACACACAGTCCATATCCCCACAGTTCTGTAGTAATGATTGGTGTCTGCGTCTGGCAGAAATGAAACACTGAGGTATAAAGAGTGTATAGCCTTCCATCTATAAAACCAGAAACATCCTCGTGAGACCCACAAGGGTTGACTTGGGCAAAAAGCAGACAGTTCGGCGCAAATCGGAGACTCTGCGCCAACATGGCACGCAGAGAAACGGTCCCAAAAGGTTTATAAGTCACAGGGTTGAATAGAAACTACGGGTTCATATTTCATAAGCTACTGCTGAGTCGTCTTCTGATTGACCACCGAGCAGGACGAATGTGGTACCAACAGGGAGCTCAACTTGGCAGTGAACTACAGTGAGGAGCATCTTATACAGACAGGTCACATTAACACTTGTATCGTGGTAGAGAGTGAATATGTTTGAAAATGTGTGTATAATAAGCTTGAAAGGTGTCTGGAGAGCGTGAAGGCTCCATGTCACCAGAAGGAGAACAACAGTGAGAAATAACAAAAAGAAACAGAGAGAGGGTGAAGAAAAAAGAAGGATGAAGAGTTAGACAGAGGGGAACGACTGTGGGGAAGGGGAGCAAAATGAGGGGAGAGACAGAAGAGAGAGGTCTGTAATCAGTTAGTCTTGTTGTGTGTCTTAAAATAGAGCTCTCTCAGCCTATAAACAGAAACCTACTATTACTAGTGCACTGACAAAGCAAGTCTCGGATCCAAGCGTGCACGTGTGCATGTGTGTGCGTGCACGCACACGGTGGTATGTGTTAAGGCCGCAGCACACATGGAGCTCGTTACAGCACGGCCCTCTGGGTAATGTGGTACTGTGAGGAGAACTACAACCACAGATGAACTGTCAAAATTAAAATGCTGCTTCTCTGTTTGGCTCCAGGAATAATTTCATCAGTTTTTCATACGAGCTACAGTGTGTTTCTACCGCTCAGATCACTGGAGGCCTATTTACTTCTCTGTACTTTGGACAGTGATTAGAAACAAAGACAAGTTCCAAAACATAAAAAACTGAGCTACTGGAGCTTTATAAATAATACTGAATATTGTTCTTGCCTTTTCATTGTAAAGTTAACAGTATGGATGCAGACAGGAAACTTGAAAAGAGAAAGAGGGGTATGACATGCGATAAAGCTCCAGGTTTGCACCAAGGGCATTGTGGTTACATGGTATGCTTCTTAACCACTGGGCCACCAGGGCGCCATAGAAACACCATAACATTTCATAATTCAGGTCAAAACGTTTTTCTCTCTCTGACCTTTGTTTTACCAGGATGGTCTCAAGATCAAAAACTCTTTTTTCAAAGAGTCCTGGCCAAAATGGCAGCATAATTAAACGTTAAACGAAACAACACAGAACCAACATTCACAGACAGAGTAAATGTGGAGCAAGAGTAAGGAAGGAGAACACAAAAAAGACATTAGATCCCTTTTAGAAACACACAGCATCTCAACAAATACAAAGCTATTAGTCAAAACAACTGAACTGGTTTATTTAAGAGCTTAAAATATCCATAATTTCATCTTTTAAATCATCAAAGATTAATTTGAAACTGTCAAAAACTGAGCAAATTTAAAGACATATTTACCATTCTTCTGCATTATCTTTTTGATCCTGTAACTGTGGTATCTTTAAATATTTTAGATATATACAGCAACATCTTTACAAAACTTTGTTCACAGTGCCGCGCAGAAGACACACAGTCACAGTGACAATTTCTAAACTAACTTATCTTTGAAAGGAGGTGGCTGAAGTTGTAGGTGGTTAGCATGTATCTATAAAGACATGTCAGTCAGTCTTATGGCTCACCTGTGTGTCTTTCTCTGTAGCTGGGTCCTGGTGTGGTTTTATGCCTTTGTTCTGGTGCAATGGGTCTGGACTGCAGGACTCTGCCCCGCTTCCCGCAGGTTTCAGTAAGTTTCTCTCTCAGGCAGAGAAACAGAGACAAACTGGAGGACTGGAGACAGAGACAGAAAATAACACACTTGGATTGCATGCGCACGTTAAACACGATTAAGACACATCTTGTCTAAAAATAATGCTGTTCACTCATGGAAATAATAATACAAAAAAAATCATTACAGTTCTCAAAATCTTGCTCACTCACACACTCACACACACACACACACACACACACACATTCCCCTTTTTGTTTTTCCGTCTCCACTCACGTCGCTGTCCAGCAACACAGTTTTCTCTGTGCCGCTATGTGCCAGCAGGTACTTTGAGTGGAACAGCCGTCCATCGAAGCTGTGCCAAGGCATCAGAGCAGTGCTGGGCAGCGGGCAGCCGCTGGCAGAGTTAGCACCCAGCAGGTGGCTCAGTCCTCGGACGTAGAGAGATCCGAGCTGCACCGCACGACTGGAGACGAAAGGCAGCTGAGAGCGGAGGAAGGAAAGAGTTTGGTTTTATATTTGGCTGGTAGGACATCTATATCATGAGGTTTGATACTTTGGGGTTTCTTCTGTCACCATTTTTTTGTACTTGTATGACACAGCCTTAACTGCAGCAACAGCGACTCTGTTTTGAGATGCCAGCAGGTCATATTTGACTTCACCACGTGACAATAGATTCCTTTAGCTCCAAGTTTCACAAAGCAAAAAATAGATCCGCAGTGGCTGACCACACAACCGATAACTCCCCCATACATGAAAAGAAACCTCACTGTTTTATTTGGAAATGTAACTGATAATTATTGTAATAATGTACACAATTGTTACAAAATAAATCTGCAGTATGTCATTATTGTACCATAGACATATTTATCCATAATATTCACATTAATAAAGCTTGTTAAATGTAACTTAATTGAGAAATTAACTTTAGCCTCCATCAACACATCATAAATATCTTCCTGTACTGTAACATCATTTAAACAGTCCTGCTGTAAAGAGCCATCTGTTTCTTCAATATGGTTAGTTTCACCACCCACAACAAATTTCTTAACATTTTACTCACAGCTGTTAAAATAATTGGTGTTTCCCAACCCCAGTTTGCACAACTTTATCTGCTCAATCGTGACACGTGAATCACCCAATTATATACGACTCGGACCACCCACTTTACTGTCTGTCTGTCTAACAATCTATCGATCTAAGTATGTATACCCAGGTGACAGACAACTGGCTGTTGTGGTTACTATATTTGACAGTGAAACTTCTTTGCCTAGATTTGCTTACTGCAACACAATTCCACACTTATATGAAAGTAAAATAATGCAGTATATGTGGAATTTGACTGATGAGGCACTCTTCTGGTTCAATATTTATCTGAATGTAAGGTTCCATTGGTGTTAGTAAAACATAAAGGAATCGAATCCACAATTAATAATATGAATAAGTGAGTCAGCAAGTCAGTTTAACTCATCTGATCTCAAAATCACTGACCATAAAAGTAACAGCAACAGAGACGAAAGAGAAGAAAGAGGACACTGAAGGAGGACAATAAAGAAAAAGAAGATGAGGATGATGAAGAAGCAGAGAGCAAGTTGACTGTAACGACAGCAGGCAGATGTTCTCTCTCTGTGTGTGTGTGTGTGTGTGTGTGTGTGTGTGTGTGTGTGCTTTCAGCTCTCACCTGTCCTCTGGCAGATAGCACAGATAACAGTGATTACGTGTGTGTACACACACACACACACACACACACACACACACACACACACACACACACACACACACACACACACACACACACACACACACACACACACACACACACACACACACACACAGCCCTGCCTGCCACCTGCTTCCAGTCAAACACAGCTTCACCTTCTGAAAACAATGAACCACTGGACAGAGACACAAAAGCCTGAGGGCGCACACAAGCACACAGACACAAAAAGACACACAGAGAGAGAAAGAACATGAAGACAGACAGAAAAAGAGAAAGTGGTCGAGTGTAAAAAGTAGAAAGTGAGGGAGAGACAAAGACAGAAACGTGTGTGTCCAGCGGGGCGGAGTGTGCTTGGTGTAAATAGCTCCATGTGGTGAGCGTCAGACAGGCGGCTGTCGCCAGCACTCTCTCTCTGTCACACACACACATACACACACACACACACACGCCACAATCACAGTCCCATGGGGAGGAATGTTGCAACAAAACCAACGCATCCCAAAACCCACCCACAACCCCTTTCCCCTAAACACACACACATACACACACAAATGGTGTGACTCATTTTCACTCAGTTGAACACACACACATTATCATTGTTTTCTGGGGTATTTTGTGGAGAAATAAAGAGACAAGCTGAAGGCTGAAGGGAGTAAGTTACTGTTTTGTGTGTGAATCACTCTGCAGGTTATACACACATGCAAATGCACAATCAAATATCAAAACTGTATTGTACGTTATCCCACATCTGAGTGTATATGTGAGTATATTCATGTGTTTAGTTTGTGTGTGTGTGTGCAGTTAATGCATACACTAGTCACTCAGTTAACTCCCCTCCTGCAGCTCTGAACCTCTCCCAGACAGCATATTCAAATCAACGCCCAGCCCTAATTATTGTGTAGAAAACAGACGAGCAGCAAAAATACAAATTACTAGACACAAGTATGGTAATTAAGCAGTAAAAATAAATGGGGCTACAACAAGGCAGCAAACAGCACAGCCGTTTTCCCAGAGAATGGAAAAGCACAGCTGACTCTCTGATTCTCAGATCTGTGAGAGTCACAAGCATCCACCGAGCTCGCTGAAGACTCCGAAGAGTAGATTAGGACTGCAAAGTATTATCATCATTGATCAATCTATGAATTAATGTTTATGATTCAATCAACCATTTAGTAAAAACTGTGAAAAAGCCAATTACAAATTCCTGTAGCATCTTCAAAGAACTGTTTTGTCTGACCAACAGTTGAAAACCCAAAGATATTCAATTAAGAGTGATGTAACACAGAAATAAGAAGCAAAATCAACATGAATTCATTTTAGAAATGAAAACTACCAACAGTTGACTGTTGAGGATTGAGTTGCTTCACCTTCCCCTATCTAGAACCAGTGTTTGGTTTGTCCATTCTGGGCTACTGTAGAAAAACATGGCGACCTCCATAGATGGTGATCTGTGTGTGCCATACCTATGAATATTATATTCTGCCAATAGATCCTCCTTAATGTTACACACTGGACCTTTAAGAAACTTGTTGAACATTTGATTCTGTTTGAATCTATAATACAAAAATTACCATTTGCAAAACAACCACACTTCAGGTTAACCATAACAATTATGGTTTGAGTTTTTTGTTTGTTTTTCTGTAGACTCAATCAGCACCTTATTTGTATTTTCTCCCCATTTTTCTTTTTACTTTCTATTATTGGAAACATTTTCTGAGCTGTTTGCCATAAGAGGACCTTGTTTACTGTAAACTACAGGGGACATTGTCTTCTTGCAGCAGGAAATGCAACAACTTTAGGGTCTATTGGGACAAAACATTTGAGTGAAAATCAGAAAACAAGTCAGATTGTTTTAAAAAATCTGTTCATCTTTTGGTGAAAATAAGACAAATAAAAAAATGTTACCTTATATACAGTAGGTGTGTATGTTTGTACTTGTAACTGACCTTGATCTGTTGAAGCTCCAGGGGGGATTTTAGTCTCAGACACACAGCTTGACTGAGGTAAGCATCCAAGTCCTCTTGAGACAAAGTCTGTACCTAAACACACACACACACACACACATACACACACACATGTACAGAGGAAAATATATGGTTAGCCAACGCAGGCACATCCCAGTGTGTCTTCAGTGTGGGTCAGTTTGTTTTGTCTGCTCTGTGTGCAACAATTCAACAGAGAAAGAAACAATGCTGAATGCAGAAACAAGTTGTGTGTACAAAACAAACAAACCCTGAAGCTATTTAAATAGAAGAGTGACAAGGGAATGTGAATGCAGCAGTGATCAGACCACAACAGCTACTGTTGTCTGTCTTGTCTGCCCAACTCTGATGGTCCACTCATCTAACGGTCCATCTAAGAAGCTGTTTCTGTCTGTCTGTTGGTCCTTTATGCATTTAAATGATTGGCTACAAGTGTCCGTCTGTCTATTTGCCCCACAATTTGCATCAGTCTCAATGGCTGCCTTTTGATCTTTGTGTCTTTGAGTGTTCAACTCTGTCAGAACAGGGTGCTTTTAGTTTCAAATTACAAGGCCGGTCTAACTTGCTAAATTGTAGGATTAAAACCTACTTATCTGGTTTGTTAAAAGTTCACCGATGGTAAGTTTGACTCTGGCAGCCCATCTTGCTTTTCCTTTGTGCTCTGGAGTTTAAATTAAATTGTGAAAACAACAGTTTCTTCATAACAAACTGTTTTAATTGATTGCTACAGTTTTAGATCTTAAGTGCAAAAACTCTGTATTGACCTTATTGGTTTAAGTGCGTTATTGCATTGGCATGTGGATACAGTGGGAGAAGACATTTTACTGTTTTTCAAATAAAAGCCAAATTGGAGTATATAATTTAAGAATTGCTCAGGGAAAAGGAAGCTAAATAACATTTAGGCAAAGCAGTGAAAAAGAAGTTGTTCTTGCAATTAAAGGGGAACTCCACCAATTCTAGATATAAATCAAAGTCTGTTAACAGGTGTTGGGGAATACTCCCGCATATGTGAAAAAAGTTGTATAAAGCTAATAAATTGAAGAACGCTTGCCTGACCTCAGTAGCTCGTCATCTCTGCTTGAGGCAAGTAACTTGAGGCTGCTTTAGCTGTTACTGATATAACATGTCCGTATCTCCAACTGAACAGTCAGCGGTTGAGTTGCATTGTGGGTAATGTAGGCACCAGGTTTTGACAAGGAAGAGGAAAGCGTGAAATAAAAAAATTATATTTCTGGTTCCGGTGCATCGATTTTCATCATGACTTCAATCATGACACCGACAGTGTTACAGGAATACAATGCTAAATCAGTGGAGTGCTCTTGTAACAGAGAACGTGTGCCATGTTTCACATGCATCATTTTTCTGATGAGGTTTGGAGCATAAACACCGTAGAAGGCACTTCCTCAAGAAACTAAACTTCACTGTGACACACAAAGATGTCTGAATTAAAGCATTATTTTAAAACATGCATGGTAGGTCAAATTTCAGGAGCAGATTTTGAAAACTCAAGACAACATCTGAGATTCTTTTCTTTGAAGACATAATTCTGTTAGTGTGGCATTAAAGAGTGATTTAAGACCTGTTTGTTACACAGCTGATAAATGAAGCGACAGTATAATTTTTGTTTAGCTTCTGCAAAATGACGAATGCACCTTTATCCAGGTGGTACAATCCTGTGATCTCTGTTGTGTTAAAGCTCTATCAGATGACGTCAATGCAAAATGTACAAACCAAAAACACAAATGCTCTTTCTCGCTCTCTCTCTCTCTCTCTCTCTCTCTCTCTGAAAACAACGCATTACAACAGGATTACAAACAGTACAAATGTTTATAGTTTAAAATTTACAACCAAAATAAGGACACAACTGTAGTAATGTGAATTAAGAAATGGGTCTTAAGATATTCAAAACGCCTGGGTGGTGATCATAGCATTTGTTGACGCAAGTGCTGGAGTTACAAAGACCAGTGTCTGTGGCTAAACTGGGCACTATTAAGCCATGACAAAACAACATAGAACAAACCGTCAACAAGTGATGTTTAACTTCAAATCACAAGTTGACAAAAGAACAAAATAATTGTTGTATATGTTATAGATGTAAATCCAAAATCAAAAGCTGACTTGTGTGTTTAATTGTCACCAAATACATTTGGTCTTTCATTTTCTGTTTACATAATCACCAGGTGTAGCTTTACTACCCATACACTGGTATTATCTTGACTGAAATGCCTAAATACAAACTGATTCCTTTGTGCTCGACTGTTTCATTTAACAGCTTAACTTATTCTTGAAAGCTAAACCAAAGATGCAGCCCAACCAATGAAAACAGTCGTATCAATAACAGTAGAAAAACTGTAACACATTAAATACTATTAACATCAGATGTATTTTCAATTAAAATAAAACTAAATTACATTTTCCATTTGTGACTGTTTCTATTTTGAAAGTATTGTAGTTTCCCTTTTTTTCTTTCTATCAATCAATCAATCAATGAAACAAGAAAAAGGTGACACTACCTGGAGGGCTATGTAAGTGACCAGGCAGAGAGCAGCCAGCAGAGAGTCGTCAATAGCTCCATACAGCTCTGAGAACTCCTGGCAGTCAAAAATTGAAAGGAAGTACGTCAAGCGAAGAGCAGCAACTTCAGGACCATTGCCAAACCATAACAAGTCCAGATTGGGCTGATCACCTACACATTCAGACAGAGAGAAAATACGGTGGGACTTTGAATGCAAAAACACTGCATGAAATGTGACATTTTTTATTAATGTACAGTATTAAGCTCAAAACAGAAGCATCCTTCAGTCATGCTGATGGTCTATAACTATTAATTATAGAGGAAAACATAATTCCTAGGAAAAATCCAAAACCATGTGACTAATGTTGTTGTTTTTGTTGCTTATCTGGAGCACTGTAAACTTTAAGTGCAATGCCCAGGACTGGCACAGTGTATCATCCCAGCAAAAATTCAACAGAACTATGTAAAAAAAAAAAAAATCTCCATCTCCTTCTAAACTTGCATCTCCAGGCGACACTAGATTGAAACCAGATTTTGTATTAACCCGAGCAAAAGAAAGATATACAAAGATTAGAATATAAAGAAACTAGCAGGTACAGTACATGGGAGGCTGGTTGGGAGAGGGTGGACCATGTCAGGTTCCTTCAGAGGGTTTCCAGGGTAGACAAACCATTCCCTGATTGCTGGAAGATCAACACTGCTGCCTGAAAACACCCAAATAAGTCAAGGTTAGACTTGGATTCATTTCACAACACTGTGAAGACAAAAAAGCAGTCTTGTCTTCATTTTTAATTACAAGGTACACGTGACACCAAAAGATAGTTTACTGTCCTACCATCCTGCCCGTGCAGCAGCAGCAGCCCATAGATGTGTTGTCTGCACGGTTTGTAGACGAGGGCCTGGGGCAGTAATTCAGCATCTTCTTCATCCTCCAGAGTGTTGCTACATTGAATGACTCCATCGCACACAACACCGTAAACCATGAAACCCTCTGCTGCTACATGCTTCTCTCTACAGGCCTGGGGAAAACCACAAAGTAAAACGTAACAAGCCAATATGGCATTTGGTACTCTCAAAAGAGAAGAGACGGAATAAAGGTACAGAACATACCTTTAATATTTCAGGACTAACGTGTTTCTCAAAGGCTGGGGCAGACATTAACGTAGAGTTGTCACATTGCTGAAGTGCTTCCTGTTGAGGCAGTAAGTAGGAGCAAATCCCCATCTTCAGTAGCTCTCTGTGAGGAGCTGACAGATTCAGAGTCTGAGGGATGAACTCTGGATCTTCCTCCTTTCTGGCCCACAAGGAGCTCACAAGGTGGGATACAGCTAGCACCGTCTGTCCCTGAGGAGCATCAAAGGGTGGTACAGGGTTGTTTATCCTGGGAAACAATAAAATTGTTGTTATGGAATGTCCTCATACAATATTATGAATGTGTGCATCCAGTATTCATGTTCCTTTAACTAAACAGAGTCAACGACGAAGTTAATTTAGGTATTTATTTGGGCGAAGATAAGAATGAGACACCTGTATGTTGCCATGGCATCGTTCCTGATGTGCCGCATTCGCTCCTCTGACACCACATCATTACCTAGGAGACAGGCCAGTAGAGGTAGCTGGGTAACAGCCAATCCAATGGTCCGGCAGAGCCTCTGTCGGTCGTACAGGACAGTGTTGAGACTGTCAATCCGCAGCTTTTCCACAGACAAGTAGGGGGCACTTTTAAAGATAAAACAACATGTTCAGCTCAAACTGTTTATACAGATTTTCAATGATGTATTAATTATTATTATATCAATTAGTCCAAGAATCTTTTAAACCAGCATTTTAACTGTGAAGACTAGTACTAGTAGTAAGTCATTCTGCAGCAATTTATAAGTATTATTAAATTCCCAAGCTTAAAATTAAAACATGATAATTTTAATGAACCTGTCATATATAATGAAGTCTGAGTCCTGTCCCAGAATGCCCATACAGCCATGTTGACGAGCATAGCTGGCGATCTCATAATCGGCCTCCTGCACTGAGCAAAACACTTCCTGACCCAGTGACCTACAAGCAACAAAAAAATTTACAATCAGAAAATACCAGCAAAGATATCTGATCAAAGCCCATCTATCTACTAAAGCTTCTTTAAAATAAATTATCTTTATGATCACAGTGTATATATTATATACAAGACAGCTACTGCGTCGTAATCTGTCTTGTAAATGCTGACCTGAGAGCAAAGGGTGTGAATGTCGCCAGACCAGAAGGAATACAAAAGAGATTTCTACCAGGCTGCTCTCCGTATGCCTTTATGTGCCGGAATATTTTAGAAACCTCCCCGTTCACTCTGCGTCTCCTCTTCACCTGAGGACAGGAGAGAGAGACTGTGTAAACTTACTTACTTATCAGGTTCTGCAAGTTATATATCATCTATACCATCAATACACCATGCTTATATGTTCTAAATACTAAATATTGGCATTATTATCAAGTACACTACAGTGATACAGAAACAATCAATCAATACATTCTGTAACTGAAGACAGAAGTGGAATAACAGTCTTTCAACATGGACAATTTTTAGATGTGTTGAACTACAGCAATTTGAGTATGTTTCCTAAAAGAAAACATTAAAACATTCTGAACAATATTAAACTTTCCTCACCCACTCCTGTCTCTTCTGCTCTTTCACCACCCCATCAAAGAAGAAGACCAGTCTGATGCCCGCTGAAGTGAAGGCCTCTACCCAGCTCTTTAACACATCCAAGTATTCCCTCCACTGGCCCCCACACACCCAGTCCTTACATGAGTACCAGTGGCAGAGGCAGGCCATACCATCCACAACGAGGGTGGGGGGGCCTAAATGAGGGTGAAAACACAGATGTAATAGAGAGCAGACCTGTACGCTAACCCACTCTGAGAAAAGACACAAATATCCAGCTTATATTACTCCTGCAATGTAAGTGGATGTGTGGTTGCTAGCACTCATATTACATATTATAATGATACAGTATACAAGCCCATTGGTGGAGCATTCATTCAAACAGTACCACCTCCACCAATCTTTTTATATGTTGTTTCAATTCTCTGTTTGGTCATTTCCTGAAATACTTATGCTGTGTGTGCCTGTGAAGCACCTGGTTTTGAAAGGTGTCACAGAAATACAGTTAAGTTATTTATTTACTAATATCCCCAACCCCCCACCCCAAACTAAACATAAGTAAAGTTGATAAACAACATGGATTAAATCAGTTTTAAGAGACATCCACTGACTGCTAGCACACAGTAAGAAACTCAACTGTTAGCTGTGGTCGTGCTGCCTTGCTGGCTTTTGGTAACATGTTGTCTGGCCATTTCTCTCAGGTTCACAGTCACACAGGCTTCTGGACAGCAGCGGCTCATAAAGAGTTGAAGACCCTTCACACCCATTTCTACAGAAGAGAAACAGACTGAGACTGAATTCATTGGTAACGTTTAAGGTGAATTAGCAAGATGATAGCGTGTTCATAACATTATATAGTTTAAGTATTTAATGAGTGAGGCGGTTGTACATCACAGCAATACCACAAACACAACAGGACAGCTCGCCAGGTTGTTCAGTTTGATGTTAAAGAAGAATGCTAACAGTTAGCTTAGCTTCTAGTCGCTAAACTAACTCGTCCCGAGGTTGTTCCTGTCCTTACAAACTTATACTGAGTTATGTCTGTAAATACTTGTACCCCTAATGTTGCTGCACATAGGAAACACTTACTTTAAACTTGTGGCGCACATGAGCAGCATTTATCCGTGTTGTGTTTACTTCAAACACTGTAAATTCAAATTACTTCCTGTTATCTACGCGTGGCGTCATCACGTTGCAAAACAAACCACACGTGCTCGGCGCCCACCAAAGACCACAATGCAGCAGCAGCCAGAGTTTGTTATCTGTGTGATTAATCCAAATATAAATACTATTTAAAACTATTTTAAAAATAAAAATGTATCCCTGAAACACAAATTGGACAGCTCATTTAGATAAGTCTACTGATGCTGTAATGAAGAATTAAACATCTTAGAGTATCATGAATGATAATAGACCATTGAGGTTTTTTGTGGGCTCAGTCCTCCCATAATAACTCCCCAAGGGTGGGATCAGAGATGGGCTAATTGCTCTCCAGGCTCTCTTGGAGAATGGGGGCTCTTTTCTGGAGTCACAAGCTATTAGGTCTACCTTCTCAACACAAAGCACCCCAGTCCCCTCCACTCTATTGTCTGAGTGGAGCAGGAATAAAGAAAGGGACATATGCTGGATGTCAGTCCAGCTGTCAGCATCTGTCGTTCCTCAGCCAGATGCTCTGTGGACTGGGAGGACAATCCACCCCTCCCAGTCAACTGATCTTCAAGTAGGGAGGAGTTGTGTTGTAAATCTGCCCTCCAGTTATTGCACTAGAGAGTTATGATCACTGGACTCATGAAGACCACATAGGCATTTTGGTTTTAGACAGAACTTGACCAATGGTTTGTGCCTCGGTTCCCAAAAAACCCTGCAGCTATGATGACCCTAGTTTCATTTTAAGTCTAAAGGTTAGGATTACCTTTGCCTTGAGGATGCCTTTGGGAAATGGGGCTGTAGACCTGTGCAGATGTTGAATCAACAGCTGCTTTATCTGGAACATTTGTCTTAAAGTTACATAATCATGTTCAGTGTTGTTGAACTGTAGAGGTCCAGATTATTTCTCAGGTTCAGGTCCGTGTTGACAGTCGTATAATCTTGTTTGCAATAAAAACAATAAGACACAAAGCACAACATCGGCATAACACAAATGATGCAGTCACACAAAATGAAACACAGAACAGAATAATAAAAGCCTTATAACATACACAAGCACATAGGGTTTATTTGTTGTATAAATGTGTTTCCACAACCTGCGTGTATTTGTGTCACATGAAAAACATACACACAATAGACATGGATGTGCACACCTTTACAGATACTATATATTCATGTCCCTGCATATATAAGTGAAGACAAAAGACCAGAAGTGGAAAGCGGTTTATATAATCCTGCATCCCATTTTCAGTAGTCAGTGTTTGGGTCGGTTGCCTATTCACGTTGGATCTTTTCAACTTCCTCCTCCTCCTACACTCACTCTTCCTTCTCCTCTTCGATCTCCTCCCCTTTGAGTTCCTCCCCCCTGTTGCCTCCCCCCCTCCTCCCCTCTCCTGACCAAAGCTTGACTCAGGAGAAACAGAGGCAGATGTTCCAGGAGCACACGACTGCCCTCAGCCCTACCCCCCAACACCTCCCATTTGTACTGGATCAGCAGTTAACCCCCGGAAAGAATTGACCATACAAGCACGCACACACACATACAAAGAACACCGCTGCACAAATCTGTAGTGGCTCAACAGTTGTCCAACTGAATGAACAACAACACACACACACACACACACACACACACACACACACACATATATATATATATACACACCAAGTGCTGTCCAAATCCTCTCAGTGTCCCTGATAGTAGCCACCCTGGGGTCAGGCCTGGTGTCAGCGTCCAGGGCCCCAGGTCTCTCTGGGCAGCTGGCTTGGCTAATCCTGCTGCTGGAGGCCAGTGGTTCTCAAACTAAAGGCCAAGGACCCCTGGGGGGCCATAGGGCAGGGATCTCAGGGAGCAGGGAGTGTGCGATTTGTCCAAAATGCAGGGTTTTTGTTTGCTTGCTTGCTCCCACTAAGTCCATTAAACATTAAATATTAAATTTCACAGTGAATCAAGACTTTCACTGTGTCAACAACAGTGTTGGGCTAGTTGCTCAAATATGTGATTTATTACTCATTACTCTTTAAAAAAGTAACATTATTACTTTACTTATTACTCCGCTACTAGTTATATTACTTTTCTCCTACTCCAATTAATTAAAAAGATGAATTGTGTCCCTTATGACGATTAAAATCCAGTTTTGTTTTGTGTAAAAAGTCCAGCTGCTCAATAAAAGTGTTTCCATTTTCCAAACTAGTTTCCTCAGTGATTACAAAGTGAATCATGGATGTGATCGGATTGTTGGATTTCAAATCCGTAGAGTGTGACAACAAAAGTAAAGTTGTTACTAATTATTTTTTGCGGGGTTGACTGTAATATTATGACTGAAATGTATTAGTAATTAGTTACACTACTAGTTACTGGGGAAAGTAATGTTATTACTAGTAATGAGTTATTGCCCAACCAATATAATGTGTGAATTTAAAAGCTGGGCCATCATCATCACAAATAGGATTCTAATAAAAAACACAAAATATTTAATGGAAACCTGTAAAACAATAAACAAAACATCTAGAAATATTCCATTAAATGTAATATTGGAGCCATAAAGCCATACATTTGAATTTCAGTATTTCACTCAACATCAAATCAATCAACAATTATTTCCAATGAATGTTCTGATTTCTTTCTCAATTAAAAGTTTAGTCTTTAAAATGTCAGAAAATGGTCATCATAATTTCCTGCAATCTAAATAAGATAAGATAGAACTTGCAGCACTCTTTTCTACGTTGTCGCACAATGTAGGAGGAGTGCAATGCATAAATATTTAATGTAATATCACAAAAGACAAAGAAAAACAGCAAATCCTCATATAAGAGAGGCTAGAACAAAGCAATATTTGGTGATTGTGCTAGCAAAATGACAGACAATCAATTTAGTTGTTTGAGTTTTACTCTATATAACGTTTAATCAAAGCACTGGAACAATCAGATACAGAATACATGATGTGAAACTGGGCAAATAACTTGAAGGTATTAAAGTACAAATGGTAAAATAACACAATCTTAACACAGACTTGTTCCCACTAAATGGACTTCCAATCTTTTATATAAAGTTAAAGACAGCCCAGAGAGGTGATAACAATGTCATATATGTACTGTAACAGAGGTGTACCACAGGTCTGTGTCGCACACTGAGGCGAACAGGTGGGGTAAGTTGCTACATTCCTGACTTGGCTGGTAGGTAGGCAGCCTCAGGTCTTTGTGTCTCAGATGGGGTGGAGACACGTGAGTCTCAAGTTTCTGGCATCACAGTGTTGTTGTTGCTGGGGGAGTCTTATCCATCAAACCAGCAGCCCGGCCACACGACTCTCCCTTTATCATTATAATCAGCAGTGGAGAGATCCTCACCGCATCAGCACCTGTTTATCTATCTATCTATCTATCTATCTATCTATCTATCTATCTATCTATCTATCTATCTATCTATCTATCTATCTATCTATCTGTCTATCTATCTATCTGTCTATCTATCTATCTATCAACACAATGTGATGGAACTAATGCATAATGAATGTAATGAATCAGACTAATGAAATAACATAGCAGCACAGGAATTTGTCTAATTGAATATCGGTCTCTATTCAGCCGTTCTTAAACCCTTTCAGCCTGGACACAAATTAAATATCTCAGTCAGCTCAGCGTCTAATTAAAACCCGTATTCTTGTCGTGCATGTGGGAACCCAGCATAGAAGGAGTAAGATTTGTTCTGGCACAAATTGAATGATCCAGAGTCCCTGTGAACTTTGATTTCTATAACTGACCAGAAGGCTGCCATGCTATGTGCAGCAGTGTGTGTGTATGTGTGTGTGTGTGTGTGTGTGTGTGTGTGTATGTGTGTGTGTGTGTGTGTGTGGGTAGCTGGTGTGATGGCAATATTGTGGAGGTTCCCACGACGGCCATCCATCCATTTCTTGGCACGCACAAACACACACACATACTCACACACACAGGCCATATGGCCATCTCATACCCCTGCATGCCTCCACTGTGATTTGGCCCTGGGACCCATCAAGCAACTAGTAGCTTCACCTACAAAGGCATGTGGCCTGTAAATCAGAAGATGAGGAGAGAAATAAAGGAGTAAGAGGTCGAGGAAGCACAGATAGTTGTGAGGAACAGATTGATGGAGTGAGGAGGAAGAAGAAGGGTGATATAAAAGGAGAAATTAAGTGGTTTTATAGAGAGATAGAGGCGAGGGAAGCCATTTGGTTGTAACTTGGTGTTGTGGTGTTTGGTGAGCAGATGGCTGGGGCTCGAGGAGGGGCGTGTCTTGTCCTCGCGACCCTTCACAAATCATACGGTTTCTTCCCCTAGGGGCTCGCGACTCGCCGTTCAATAAGAATCAATGGGAATTACTTCGCGAGAGAAAGGGATGAATGGGCGGCGGGGCGCGAGACCTCTTCCTTTGTTGTCCCCCTGCGTGTCACAGAGCTCCTGGTCACACACACACACACACACACACACACACACACAGGGACCCACACACGCGCGTACACGCAGTCACACATACACACACATAGACAATAGGAAAGCACTTCAGTTAAACAATCGACCTCCAGTTAAACAATTTTTTAACCCTTACACGCGCGCGTGCGCGCACACGCACACACGAGGGATCATATGGGAGGAGTTTCTACTGTCTGCTGTTTCCTTAAGACAACATTAGAGAATCTCCTGGCATAAATTATGTTTTAGGGTAAAATGTGGTCTTGATGCTGATGAAGGAGAGGAGGAGGAGGAGGGGGGTCACTTTCCATCTCACCATGCCTTTCAGTCACGCTTTGCTGGCGTAATCGGAAAATGTGTGCCACGTCATGGTGATGAATGACTGATAGTATATTGGCCTAATACATAGAGGGAGAGAAAGAGCACCGGGGACCTCTGAAAGTCGGGATGAGTGTAAATAAAAGGCTTCAGGAGAGGGATTTTACGCCACGCCACATAGGAGCATTGTATGCTATTGAGAAGGGGGCTGAAATCAACTGGTTAAATGAAATGAGCAGCTCGGAGTAGCGTCCTATAGCTAAACACACATACGGGTAT